AACAGGCTCCGGAGAAGGGGTCGGGACTTCGGGGGGGCGCGTATTGAGCAGTCACGACATCAGGGGTTTAGGATTACAGTCAGGCGTTCCAAATAGCCTCACTTTCGACGCATCCTTCGCCTTCAGAGGGTAACCAGCCTGGGGGCACGCCTGGTGGTGCGACAGGGGGGGAGTTTTTTGCAAGGAGAAGGGATTTCAGGAGGGGAAAAAACACACAGACACAATTGATCGTCGATCCCCGTGAAAAGATTGGAAAATATGGGAAGTGGTGAGGAAGACGAAGATCCAGAAAATATTGGAAAATATAGGGCATATTCGGATTTGTGCGTATCTATGTGTATGTCCCTGGGCCCCTTTATTCTTGCAAGGAGACGGGATTGGGGGGAGGGGCAGGGGAGGAGGGAAAAGGGGACAGGCGGTGGGCGCCAGGCCGACATGTTCACAGGTCAGCTGGTAAGTCCAGTCCTCCCCCACTGTACACCTCACTCCTCCTCCTCCTCTTCCTCCTCGTCGTCCTCCTCGTCCTCCTCCTTCTCGTTTTTTTTCTCGTCCTTTTTCTCCTCCTCCTCCTCCTCCTCCTACTCCTCCTCCTCTTCCTCCTCGTCGTCCTCCTCGTCCTCCTCCTCTTCCTCCTCGTCGTCCTCCTCGTCTTCCTCCTCCTCCTCCTCCTCCTCCTTCTCCTCCTTCTCCTCCTCCTCCTCCTCCTCCTCCTCCTCCTCCGCAGCCTCGGGCACGCCGCTCTGGCCGCCCCCCCCCCCGCGTCGCTTGCGGGAGGAGGGGCGAGGCTCGAGCGCTCGAAACTTCGAGGCTCGAGGCTCCGGGGTGTCCCTTGTTCCGTTGCAGGGGCTCCCAGGGCGCTCGCGGCGCCTCGGACAGATCCGCCTCGAGGTTGTGGCGGGAGCCAGCGCCCGGGAAGGTCCTGGGCCAGCGCTCTCCGTTCTCGAGGCTGGATGACTTTGGGGTGGCGGTCCCGGGTCGATTGCACGTAAGAGTGACCTTTCGCCGGAGTGACCTTTGGTGCGGGGTCGTCGGGGTGGTCCCCCCGATCGCTGAGCGCGATGCGATGGGGGCTGCTTGTGCGCTTGGGTTTGGTCACCTTGCGCCCCTTTAGTCGGCGCGCCCAAGGTCACTCTTGCCAAGGGTCACTCTTGCATGTAGCCGACCGGATGGCGTCGTCCCACGCTTCGTTCAGCTTCCTTGTGCGCAGTTGACGACGACGACGACGACCAGACCCCTTCGCGTCTTGCATGGTTTCGCAATGCGGGTTTTCAACCAAAAAGCGCGTGTTTGCATTTTCTCCGAACAACTATAGGTTTGTCAACATGTTCAGAAAAGATTGCCAAACGGGCTTCGCGCGCGTGCATGTCGAAATCGTTCGAACGCTTTTGCGTGCGTGCTGTCGCGAGAATCCTTTTTGCAAAAAAACGGGACAACGTACCCGCGCGCGCGTCGTCGCGCACGCATGCCGGAATCTTTCAAACACTTTTAGTTTCGTATCGATGTCAGAACCGACTGTCCAAAACACATGCAAACACGCAAAGTTTCGCAACATCAGTTTTCAAAAAAAGCTTGCGCGCGCGCGGTTTTGCGAATCCTTAATAAAGTCATTGGTTTTTCAGCATGGTCATGGAAATCTGCTAAATGGGGCCTCTGGCGCCGCATGCCGACATCATTCGCACGCCCTTGCGCGCGTGCTAGGGGGAGCACGATCCGTGTCACATAAAACCATGCGGGCCATTCTCGCGCGTCGGCCGCGCGCGCATGTTGAATTTTTCCCCAAACCTTCATCACCGACGCGAGGACGTCGTCATCGTCGTCGGCGTGATCAGCATCGGCGCCCGTACTGGCCGCGCCTTCGTCGGTGCGAACATCGTCACCAGCATCGCCACTATCATCATCGTGCCATGATACCGCGCCCGCCCAAGTCGCCGACTCGCAGTGAAGTGCCCGCTGGGATGCGCCCTGTGGTCAGCGCCACCGCGGTCGCGTCGGTGGCGCCAAACTGGCTGGCCGCTGCGCGCGCGTACTAGGGTTGGCGCGGCCGCAAAGATGCACCAGCCAACGCCAAGCACGCATCGCAATCGCCACCGCACGGTTTTGCAAACCAAGGTGCGGGTGGGTGGGTGGGATGCTTGCAAGAGCATGGGATGTGTCAATTCATTGGTAAGAAATCCAATGCACCACACAGATCGCAAGACATGGCTAGCAACACATAGATTGCACCACCTAGATGTGTCATGTAGCTCATACTACATGGGTTGCATCACAGATTTTACATCACGCAGCTCACACCACATAGCTAAACCACAAGCATTGCACCACACAGGTGGGTATGGTTAGCTCCTACCACATACGATTCTCCACATAGCCTACAGCACGTAGTTTACGCCACATAGGCTGCACAACATAGATGAGTACGGCAGCTCCCCACACATAGGTTGCACCACATCGTTTACAGCACGGTAGCTCACACCACATAAATTTCATTATATCAATGCGTAGTTTAGCTCGTACCACAAAGGCTACACCACATAACTTACATCGCGTAGCCCACATCACACAGTTTTGCACCACATAGATTGCATCACATATCCTACATCAAGTACATTGCACCACGCAGGCTGAAAGAACCTGTTGTTTGGGGTCCACGCTGGCTAACACAGTTTTGCAGTTGTTCCGTCGTATTCTGCAGGTCTCCCATGGGAAATCGAAGGTTGATATGTTATGGGAGATAGGGGCCCCGTTCCTTATTTCGGAATCCCTACGACAGCGTTTCGATTGTAGGTGAGGACGCGCGTGAGTTTGAAAGCAAGTCTGCAAATTCCAGGCGCCGGGCCAGCGCGACGCCCGCGCGCATCTTATGCCGAGCATCTGGCGCCTTGTCCTGCCGCGATTGCATGGTATGCTGGTAGTTGCACCATGCGGTTTCATATTGCGACCGCTCTTTTGGGTTCGAGTACAGGTGTCAGCACTGCTTGTGATTTACGACGAATGCCGAGCTTACCTCGGCCATGTTGTGCCAAGGGAAGTTGACATGCCAGATCATCTGGCCCGCAACGAAGTGCGATCACGCCGATCGTTGTTCAAATGCGGATGTGTCTTCGCCGTATCATTGCGGCGTTCTTTTTGTCGTTTCCCATGATGTGTGAGTTCTTCCAGACTGCCAAAACATCAAACCTCCAGAGTTGGGTTTCAAATTCCCTTTCCCAGTAATCGAGGGCATGATGAGCGCAACTTTCAGGAATTGGATACAGGACGCTGGATGTTCCGCCCGTGTTTTACAAATCTGTTCCTTTGCGTGGGTGCACCGTGTTGCGCCACATTGTGTCTACTGCTTTTGAACGCGCTACGATCGCAAAGTGAATGTGGGCCTAAACCGTTGCTTTGGCACGCGACATGTATTCAAACGGAGACTAGCTATAGGTGATGGCTTCGACTACATGCTAAGAGATTGCCACGCGACTTCACACTGCCTTGTTTCATTGTTGGGGGCCAGTAAAGGTGAGCCGGGGGCGAAATGCTCCCCAGTCTCCCCAAACGACCGATGAGTGACACGCGTCTTGTGCACGCTAGTGTGCTAGTGCACCAGTCCTCTACTAAGCTGTTTCGCCGTCAAGGCGCAACGGAACGCTAGCGATCATGAGAAACACGTTTTAGCACAACTTCGGATGTTGGTTGTCCCGTTGAGGCGGAGGAGAAAAGGAGGGGGCCGAGGACAATGGCGATGAGGACCAGCAGCGAGAGGCGGAGACATGAGCACTACCAACAGACATGACGCAGCCGTGCGCTCGAGCGTGCGCAGACCAGTGCGGTGGAGCGGTGCCCGCACAGAGGGCCCTCGCGAGCAGAGGCGGGGGGGAGGAGCACAACCCTCGTCGTCATCGTCATCGCCGTCATCGCGCGCAGGTCGCCCTGCGGAGATACCTAGGCGAGGTCCGAGCCAAGGACGGCGGGGGCGCGTCGCGCGCTGTCTCCAGCGCATGGCGCCATGGTACCGTTGGCTTGGCGATGGTGCACGGCCGGGGGCGCACGGGGGGCACATCAGGTGCGCACCGTCGCTTCTCGGGCACAGTCACGGGCAACGGCATGCCCACGTGTGGGCACCGGCATGGTGCGTGTGCCGTGTTGCGCGTGCGGTTCTCGAGCAGGGCGTGGGCGCACACGCACCGTTCTGCGTGCGGCTTCGTGCGTTAGATGTTCGAAGGTGCGCATGCGCATGGCTGCACATGTGCACGGCTGCCTGCTGTGGTGTTCGAGCTGTCGTTTGCAGACGTACAGGTATGTAAGTGCATTCTTGTCGTTACCCACGGCCAATATGAATACGCGTACATGTTCACGGACATGCAAAGTGGTTGGCAGATGTGTATTGTTATAGTTGGTGAGAGTTGCTTGTGCGTGCGTCCGTGCGCGTGTGTAAGTGCGCGTGTGTGTGTGTGTGTGTGTGTGTGCGTGTGCGCGTGTGTGTGTGTGTACGTGTGTGTGTGTGCGTGTCTGTTTATGTATGTGTATGCTGTGCGTGCGTGTGTGCGCGTGTGCTTATGTAGGTGTGTGTAGGTGTGTGTAGGTGTGTGTGGGTGTGTGTGGGTGTGTGTGGGTGTGTGTGCGCGGGAGCGTGTGTATATGTGTATGTGTGTGGCTTGTGTGATTGTGCGTTTGTGCGCGTATGTACTTGTCGGTGTCTGTGTATGTGTTTGTGTCGGGGAGATGGTTGCATGCGCGTGTGCGTGTGTGCGAGTGTGCCTCAGCGTCGTAAGTTGGCCCAGCCCGCGCGCTCCCGCTTAAATTGCCCTACGCCGCGCCGCCGCGCCGCGCGCGTGGCCGCGACGCCGAAAGTTGTGCATACTCGGGTGCGTCTGTGCGTGGTTGGCGCGTTCTTCTTCCAGTTGCTTATACTTATTATTCTTAGCATTTTTATCAGTATTCGTTTCCGTCTTGACCTGCGCCCGCCTGTCGCGTTCTGCCTTGCAGTCGGCGATGCCAATCTCGCGTTGGGATCTTGAGCTTCTGCCACGCGTCTTCAAACGTGGACACATGCCACCGCTACTTAGACCTCACTGGCGCGTCGGTGGGATCCGTGTGTGTGTGTGTGTGTGTGTGCGAGCTGCTGGTATCTCTACAACTTTGTGGAGGCTGGTTGGATTCACTGGCGCGTCGAAGGAAGATGAGAGTGCGTGTCTCTGCGTATTCGGGCCCGTCGCGTGCGTCCGCCGCGCTCTCGCGCCTCTTAATTATCTACGCCTTGCCGCTGCGCGCGAGGCTGCGGCGCAAAAAGTGTGTCGGTGTTTGTGTCTGTCTGTTTGGGCTCACCGCGGAATTCTTCCACGCCTCGCCGCCGACGGAAAAACGTCTGTCTGTCTATTTTCTCATCCAGCTGCTTGCGGCAAATCCAGCCACCGTGCCAGCCCAGTTCTCTGGGTGGCGACTGTCCGAGGGGACACGGGAAGCCGTCACGTGTGACATCTCGTGTCTCCAGGCTTGGGGAAGTTGTGATGATCATGATGAGGATTATGAAGATGAGTTGGGTGATGACGATGGTGATGTTGATGATGACTGTATGATTCTGATCATGATGATGATGATGATGATGATGATGATGATGATGATGATGATAGTGATGATGATGCCGATGCTGATGATGCGGAGGAGGAGGTTGGTGATGACGATGTTGCTGCTGGTAATGGAAATCGTGATGACGAGTTCATCGACGATGACGATGACGATTATGTTGATGGCGGCGATGGTGAGGATGGTGGTGGTGGTGGTAATGATGATGGTAATGATGATGGTGATGATTAAGTTGATGATGGTGACCACAACGGTGATGATGATGGTGATGGTGATGGTGATTGTGCTGATGGTGATGATGTTGATGATGCTGATGGTGGCGGTGCTGATGATGAGTGTGACGATTAGTTTGATGATCATGATCATGATGGTAGTGATAATGTTAACGATGATGATGATGATGATAATGATGATGATGATGATGATGATGATGATGGATGATGGATGATGGATGATGGATGATGGTGATGATAATGATGATGATGATGATGATGATGATGATGATGATGATGAGGATGAGGATGAGGATGAGGATGAGGATGAAGATGAGGATGAGGATGATGATTATGATGATTCTGATGATGCATATGATACTGATGATGACGACGATGATGAAACGTGGTTGGACCATCGTGGGACTGTCTTGGTCTCGTGTGAGGCAATACTGGGGTTCCTTAAGGCCGTCTTGGGGACCTCTTACGTAGGCGTGGGGCTTTCTTGGGCCGTCGTGGGGCTCCTTTGGCCTCATGGTGGGCGTCTGGGGGCCGTCGTGGGGCCGTCTTGGCGCCGTCTTGGGCAGTCGAAGGGCCTGCTACGGCCGTCTTGCGTGCCACGGGAGGTCCTCTTGGGCCGCTTCGGGGCCGTCTTGGATGCCTCTTGGGCCATCTTGGAGTCCTTTGGGGACGTCTTGAGCTGATGGCAGCACGGAAGGCGAGCATGCGAACATCATTCAAAATCCATGGGAATACATGCTGTTGGCTCCTTAGGACCTTGTTGGAGGTCCTTTTGTGACCACGTTGCGTCCTCTTGGGGGCATCTTGGGCCATCTTGCTGCGCGGGCCGTCTTGGAAGCTCGGGACGCGTATCCATCGTTGTTCACGAGGGACCGTTGCTTTGGAGGCCCTGGAGCGCTTCGGAGCAGCGGCTGGGAATCCCGTAAGTGCACGATCCTCGAGCGGGTGCGCGTAGGATAAGGGTCCTCAGAGTTAGCAGCCGTGCGGAAAGTTCACATTCCTCGAGCGGGCGCGCATGAAATGATGGTGCGGGCACTAGCTGCCATGCGGGAAGTGAGCCATCCTCGAGCGGGCACGCGTGGAATGGGTGTTCAGACATGAGCTGCCATGCGGGAAGCGCACAATCCTCAAGCAGGCATGCGTGGAATGGGAGTTCAGGCATTAGCTGCCATGCTGGAGCGCTCCATCCTCGAGCGGGCACGAGGGAAGCGGCCTTGGTGAGCGGGGAGGATGCACGCGACAGTCCGCGGGAAGAGGGAGGGGCGGCCCCTTCTTGGATACAAGAATCCTGCCAGGCAGACCGCGGCCTTCATCCACGCCTCAATGTGCCAGGGGGCACGGTGTCGGGTCTGTCTGTCTGTCTGTCTGTCTGTCTGTCTGTCTGTCTGTCTGTCTGTCTGTCTGTCTGTCTGTCTGTCTGTCTGTCGTTGCGTGGTGTGGTGTGTGCTGTTGATGTGTGCATGCTTGCGCGCGTATGCGCGCAGCTCCAACAGAAAATCGTCAACACCACCTCGATCAGCATCATCATCCTCATCATCATCCTCATCCTCATCCTCATCCTCATCCTCATCATCCTCCTCATCATCAGCAGCAGCATCAGCATCATCATCAGCAGCATCATCATCCTCACGAAAACCATCTCTCTCGCCCTCCCCCACGGCGCCATCACAGCCATCAGTTCCGCTTGCCCCCGCGCTGGCTTGGATCGGGCACTGCCTGCCTGCTTGACCCTGGGCACGCCGGGGGAGGCTGCGGCCGGGCACGGCCTGGACGCCGCCCGCCTCCTCAGCCGCGCCGCGAGGCGCGTGAAGGGCCCTCGAGGGCCCGAGCGCTCGAGGGGGTGCCCCGCTCCGCGCCAGGCCCGCCGCAGCTCCGCCACCGACGTGGCCGCATAGGGGGCGCGAGGCTGCCGGCCCCTTCCTCGGTCGCGCCCCTCCGCCCCGCTCCTCCGTGCCCCCGCCCCGCCATGCTGATGGACGCGCGAAGGCGCCGTGGGCGGTCGGAGGGGTGAGGAGGCTCAGACCGCGCTGGCCGCACCGCGCGCTCCGTTGGCCGCCGGGCGCGGGCTGCTGCGGGAGCGTGTTCTCCACATCCGCTGCGCCATCGGCCAGCCTCATCATCGCCAGAATCACCATCATCATCATCATCAGCAGCATCATCATTGTCACCATCATCGCCATCACCATCATCAGCAACATCATCATTGTCACCATCATCGCCATCACCATCATCAGCAGCATCATCACTATCGCCATCATCGCCATCAGCATCATCTGCAGCATCATTAGAATCATAATCATCAGCATCAGCATCATCATCGTCATCGGCATCATCATAATCGCCGGTGTCGTCGTCATCACAACCATCATCATTGTCATAATAGTCATCAGCATCATTGTCAGCATCATCATCATCATCATCATCATCATCATCATCATCATCATCATCATCACCATCACTATCATCATCATCAGCATATTCTTCATCATTATTATTTTCGTCATCAGCATCATCTTCATCTGCATCATCGCTATCACCATCACCACCACCACCACCACCACCATCATCATCATCATCATCATCATCATCATCATCATCATCATCATCTCCAGCACCATTACATCATCATCACCACCATCATCAGAACCATCACCAACATCGGCATCATCATCGTCATCATCATCTCATCATCATCGTCGTCATCATCATCAGCATCAGCATCATCATCATCGTAATCAGCATCTCATCATCATCATCGTCGTCATCATCATCAGCATCATCGTCGTAACCATCATCATCGTCGTCATCGTTATCATCATCGTCATCATCGTCGTCATCGTCGTCATCGTCATCGTCATCACCGTCGCCATAGCCATCGCCATCGCCGTCCCCATCCCCCCTGCTTCCGACGACGGCGACGGCGACGACGACGACGACGACGCCCCCTGGGCATGTCCTGGGGCGCACTCTGGGCAGATGTTTTCAGAGCCCAGCCGTGGCGACGAGAGCGCCCCAGGAGGCCCAGAAGAGCCCCAAGCGGCAGACACGTTGAACCTCGAGCCTCGACCTTGGAGCCCCGAGCCTCGAGCCTCGAGCATCGATCTCCCCCCTCACAGAGGAGTGCTCAAGGAGGCCCCCGTGCGCTCCGACTGGATCCGCCGACCCGTCACCCTCGTCGTCGTTTTCGTCGCCACCAGAGGTCGTCGTCGTTCTCGTCGTCATCGTCGTCGTCGTCGCCGTCGCCGTCCTCGTCGTCCTCGTCGTCCTCGTCGGCGTCGGCGTCGATGTCGCCGCTGTCGCCGCTGTCGTGCGCCGTCGTCCCCGACCCAGAGGAGTGTTCAAAACGCCGCCTCGCGCCCCGATCCCAGACACGCCGTGTCCTGCTTTTTTGCCACACGGGGTCCCCAGACGTTCCGACTCTTTCCTTGGAGGAGCGCGCAGTGGTGGGGCCCAGAGGAGGCCGAAAACGACCGAAAGTGTCCTGTCGTGATTTTTCGCAGGACGCGAGCACGTCTGGGTCATCACGCGTCGCCCCCATCGGTGCCGTCCTGAGCCCGTTCGGCGCCTGAGAGCCCATCTGGCCGCCGAGCGGCCCGCCGAACGGGCGGAGAGTTCCGACAGGGCCGAGAGAGCATTGAGCCCGCTCGGCTGCCGCCTGGGCTCGACCGTGAGTCCAGTGGCGGCCGACTGGGCTCCGACGCCGAACGGGCTCAGAAGTAGTGGAACGAACAATGACATAAGCACAAAAAACTCGGACGTCCGCGCAAAATTCTCGGATCGGCGCTGGACCCCCCTCCCTGGCGCGCGGAGCGCGCCAGGGGCGGCGCCGGGGGCGCCGCCGGGGGGAGGTCCAAAGCCGATCCGAGAAGTCCTCGCGGACCTCCGAGTTTCAATGCTCATGTCATTGCTCGTTCCCCTGACTCGGGGGGCCCCTCGCGAACCCGCCTGGGGCCGCCCCGCCCCCCGATGAGCTGCCCGCGCACGGGCCGCGCCGAGGCACGCCCGGCGCCGCGACGAGGCGCGCCGCTCTGCGGCCGCCGGCCAGCCGGCGTCGCCACATCGCCGCCGTTCCGTCGGGTGGCCCGCTCGGAGGCCCCTCGGCGGCCCGCTCGGCGGCCCCTCGCTGAGCCCCTTCGTGAGCCCCATCGGCGAGCCGCCGTGGGTGGCCTCCGGAGGCCTCCGGCGGCCTTCTGAGGCCCTCG